CCCTGCGCCTTCTTGTATGGTTGTTGAGTTGACTCAGGTGGTAGAAACACACCCAACTGGCGAGTCATAAGCCAAGGGGTCGCATGGGCTGGCGTTATTAGAAACATATATAAAATAATATACATAATTATGATAACATGTACATATACCGTCTTATCTCAGTTTGATGTGTCAAACTTTAGGCTATGCAGTCCACGCCCTAACCTCTTCCCCCAAAGAAGGCCAACTGTCGAAATTGTCCGAGGCGGTCGAGAGATCCGGACGATATTATATTCTGTTTGATAGGCAAGAAGGAGCAAACCACACCAGATCACCCACCTCTACCCACCCTAAATGTCCTTACTTGCGCCCGCCCTCATGAAATATAATTGATGGAGTGCAACATATAAATGCAAAATGTAGGCTACCAAATTTAAACGATCTGGTGAGGAAAGTCATGAAACGATTAGTTTGTTTTTTTCCTTTGCTTTTATCTTTAGAACTTATTCTTTCCCTCCCTGTGACCTTTAAACAATATATATTTTCTCTTACAGAGTTTTTGAATATATTTTTTTCTAATTCTGGAATTCCGAGAACCAATGGTCAATATGTTGTCCTCCTTTGGACTCGACACGTTTTAAAACGCCTTGTGTTTGGCCACTGAAATGTTCAGTGGTGGCCAAACACAAGGATCAACTCAACCACGAGTAGCCCTACTCATAGCCCCACACACTGTACTTACAGTATGGAGCTGTTTCTAGGGAGGGGGGGGGGTAAGGTTGCCCAAATAGACAGCGTTTGTGGAGTTGATATAACCTGAAAGGTGAATATGGGCTTTGCCAAGGAATCAAATATCATAGAGAAAATGTTCACATTTTTCAAGACGATCGAGGTATCACGAACACATTGCTATCCTGTGATAGTTTCGCGAACGGGAAAATGGTACAGTCGTAGATGAAGGTCTGCCTTAAAGAATGCAGACCGTTGAGATGTAGGAAAGTCCTTGCAGACATTGCCTACGGACAGACGTCTCATGGGGCTCATCTACTGAATTCTGCACCCCGGTGACGTTTAACGGGATGTGAACGGCGTGTGTTTGACCTGGCGTGATTTTCTGTCTGGGGGGATTTTTAGTTCTGATTGTCTACAGGTCCGAACTGATGGACCATTTCCACCCTTAAGAGCACTTTAAAACTCATTTCGCCCGGAGCGACGTTGCTGGCGGAACTTGTCGTTTCTTGTATGGTTTTATTTAACGGTTCCTACTGCTATTTTTGGCAATATTTTGTGACTTCCGAATGTATTTAATTTTGTGTCAAGACCGGAAGCTTCACTACTAGTTTCGTTAACTGTCAGAATTTTGCGTGGTTTCTTCAGACTGAAGTGCCGATCGAAATAAAACAAACCCGTTTGTCTACAATAGCAACAATTGCTCGGGGCAACAGTGCACGAAAAAAACGAAACGCCGTAAAACTTTTTGCTGGTCGACTTGAGTAATATAATCTTTATTATTATGATTACATTGTCAGCCACACTGACTTACACTTCAACAGCAATTTCCAACTGGTGGGGAAGCAGTGATGATACTGACAACGAGGATGGCACTGACCAGATTTTGAGTGGACATCCTACTCTATCAGCGCAGTATCTATCCGGAGACATCTCCGACGGAGATAGACAGATCAAAATGCCCTGTGCATCTAGACTCTAGACCAAGTAAAAGAAATTCTGGGGGGAATTTGCGACAGTTTTAGTGGTTATGTGTGTGATCTGCAGCAAACGATACTCAGTTTGACCCCCCCCCCCCAAAGTAGTACATCTGTCTCCGAATAGTTCCTGGTTGCTCGCCGGAGACGTCACCGAATATATTCTGAATCATCCGTTAGTCATATAC